ACTGTGAGAGTAAAGTGTCCTACCCAAGAACACAACGCAATGTCCCCGGCCAGGGTTCGCACCCGGAGCGCTCGATTCGGAGTCGAGTGCGCTAACCATGAGGCCACTACGCCTTGTAATAATAATTCCAATAATTTTTTAATAAGACTGTGATTTTGTGGGACAGTTTTCAATCCATCCATGAAATTCACCGCCTTATCTTAACACTATAAGGATACAAGCAACAACTGAAATAGAGAATCTAGATCTGTCGCTCAAAAATAATGGCCAGCGTTGTAAATAAACTTTAGAGCTCTTGTCATGTTGTGGGTAAAGATAAAATACATGTATTTGAACTGAGCTTTATCTCCTATTTGCTTGTTTTGTCGTTTTCAAAATCGTATACTTTTCTAGTAAAATTTGTTGTAGGGCTACCCACACATGTTAATTTCAAGAAAATCAATGTTTATCAGTTGTGGGAAATTTTGCTGGCGCTAACAGAGGGTAGCCGAACATGAAATACGTGCGCAGTAGCAACTTAAGTTGAGGTAAGGTTAGGTAACTTTATTTTAAGTCGTAAACGTAGGGAGTGGTTGCCTAATCTCCCGAGCCAGGGGCTCATGATAAAAACGCACGACTATTTACAATAACATTACAACTTACAATTACTATATTTGCTAAGATGAATTCAGAATTGAAATATGAAATATTTCTAAGGCCAACTAGTCCTAATATTAAAAATATGAGTTAGAAAATACATTTCAAACTCTGGCACCCTGCAAAGTCCACACCATTCAAACGAGAACGAAATTGTGCCAAAGTGGTCGAGGATTTGGTGATAGCTGGTAACCGGTTCCACATGTGGGCAATCGTATACAGAAAGGAGTTGTGCATGACAAAGCTGTTGTATGGTGGCTTATAACTTAGTATAATGTTATAATAATATTTTAATAATAACTTAAACCCAACACACAGGAGTCACAGCAATAACTCAACTGAATGGAAAGAAAACTTTGTCATAGTCGCAGATAAAAAGTAAAAACTGTGGGCGCTCAAAGTAAATGTCGAAAATTATGAAAATAAGCTCTACTCCTTTAGCTACCAGCTGCAGAATTCGTAATTAACAACGAAATTTCTTTGTTATAAAAAACTCTTCCGATCACAAATTTCCCACTATGAAGTTGTTTGGCGATTTTTGTTACAGTGTGCTTTAAGCTTCCATGTTTATTTATATTTGAAAACTGTATAGCTTGTTCGCTTTTTCGTGCTGGGTATGTTTAAAACGTTTTTACCATGAGCTTTTCCTACGTTCACCCTATGATTTTTAGACGCAATATCCCTTCCAAATGCAAGCTGACAATTTCTGAAAGACTGATTGCATTCCTCAAGCCCAAACGGTTTTTTTTTTTTGCTGTTGCGATTGGTGAGGATAAATAATCTTCATTATAAGGTCGAAATCTTCTAATTTACCTAGGAAACATTTTAACTCGCACAATTTATCAACTTTGACAGTCGCCCTATTCGTTTTCAAAATCACGACATTTTCATTCTGATATAATGTGTTTTTTAATTGCACAATTTTCTAACCAATATCTACTGAAAGCATTATCGATATTCACTTGTTTTAATTTCTATAAATAAAAAAGCAGAAGGTTGCTACCTTTGGGCAACGAAAACGTTTCGTATTGTAAAGACAAATGAGCATATAAATCTGTTTAAATATTTGTAATATGTTTCATTAGCTTTCTTTTGTTGCTTCTATTAACTGGAATTCAAAGGTACAAGATAAAAATGCTTAGATTTTGAGTGACTCAAATTAACCTGTTAGAGTTAATGATCCTTGCATTAGTTTTAAGCAAATAACCACTTAAAAGGCGCCTGCTTAAAGTACCGTGTAGCACAAAATTTTCCTGGTTCTAATTTTTGCGATTTTTGCGGTTTTTATCTACAAAACGAAAAGTTTGTGCAAAACTTTTGTCCGAAAAAATATTCTCCACTGGCGAAATTATCATACAAACCTCCCATGTAGAATCTTGCTGATTTTATTTGTTTAAAAAGATTTATACTGTACTGTAAATATTTCGGACGCTTAAATTTTCGGACGCCTAAAAATCTCGGACGGTTATATTTTCGGATATTTGTTTTTG